TTTTATATTATGGAATTAGATGTGTAACAAATCAATTCGAGCTCGATGAAAAAGAGATCAGGCGACCTGTAAATCAGGCTTTACGTCGTGGCGTTGCTTTTGGATTCTTGAAAAAGAATGGGCATAACTACAAGTAATAACTTATTTATAAATAATTATAAATAACCCTAGCTACCCAGCAAACTTATTCATTGAATTAATTTAAATTAATCAATTAACGTTTAATCGAGTAGAAATCAAGTTAATTATTGTTTTTCCAATTGCAATTATTTAAAGTGTTAATTGCTTAAGGTTTATAAATCCACGTCGCCATCGTTCCAAGAAAGAAGTGAAACGTGCCGGAAAACTAAGAATTTCACATGAAAGAAAAGTATCTCGAAAATCCTAGAATAGAAGAGAAAAATTCGTCTCTTTTTAAATTCATCGTTACTAATGATTCATAGAAATTTTCTGTTAACAATCTCTGATCTGAGTTTTATGTTATTTCAATATTTTATATGTAAACAAATTTAAATTCAAAATTTGGCCTTTGTAAACCAAAGTGCTTTCGGCGTGGACGAATACAGGAATGTGACGTATTTCTCAGTTTGTAATAAAATTGTTACAAAAACGTTTATTTTTGATTTTCTAGTATGAACTTTAATAAAATAAATTACAATTTATAATGAAAAATAGGTTTTATTATTAACTTCACGAATATTATATATATATATATATATAAATTAGCAAATTTGTTTTGCTAATTTAACGTATTTTTGAAGGTTCAAAGCATTCTGAACTGACACCACAATTATGAAATTTATATGAGCCAAAATTTAACATTTGTGTAATCTATTTTAAAAATTCAAAAACTGTTCGAATGATATTGTATGGGCATCGTGCTTCTTAGTTTTTGGTAAAGATCGGTCGAGAGGTTTCTTCTTAAATAAATTTGAAATTTTGATTTTTTTTATGATTTGGATGAAACTTTATAGATTTAGTAGGCAATTCTCGAAGATTCAATCATAGATAAAAGAAGAGTATAATAGTTTCTGAATTGTCACCAAAATTATGGAATTTGTGCCAAAATTTAATCTTTGTGTAATCCACCATCTTGAAAATTCAAAAACTTATTAGTTTTTGTTAAAGATCGGTCGAGGCGTTTCTTCATAAATAAATTTGAATTTTTGGATTTTTTTGTGATAATGAAGAAACTTTGTAGATTTAGTAATCTGAAAAAAGATACTAAATTATTATAAGCTTACCATTAGCGGTTGAATTCATCAAAGTTTAGAATTTTGCAAAGGTATGATCGGTCGAGGCGTTTCTTCATAAATAAATTTGAATTTTTGGATTTTTTTGTGATAATGATGAAACTTTGTAGATTTAGTAATCTGAAAAAAGATACTAGAATAGTATAAACCTAATATGATCGGTTGAATTATAAAAATTTATCCAAGTTTAGAATTTATGCCAGAGCATATGTATGTTCTGTATTTCGTAGGTAGCTCCTGATTACAGTTGACGTTGAAAGAAATAAAATATAATTTTAGAGCACGAAATGGATGAAATAAAAGGTGCTGAGCAATTGTATTTAGTTTGGGCGTATAGGGCATATAGGGGATCTGGACAAGAATTGAAATGTAGGGCATATGGTCAAAATTAATGTCAAAAAACATTCATTACAAATTTCCTAATGTTTTGGAGGAAAATTTGCAGTAATCCCGGAAAATAGCCTACCATTGCCATTTTTTGTGGAAAATTATAATTGCTCGGATTGAGCTGATGATCCTAAAGCTTGGTCCTTATGAAGATCGAAATCATGTTGTATATCTACAATGTAGATATACATATAATTTTGATATATATTTCCATACGAAGTTTGATTGAATTGCGCACTGTCTAAAAGTTAATATTCTGAGCTAAAACTTTCAGAGAATTGTTTTTGATCAATTTGGAACCATTTGAGCCTTTGGGAGCAAGGAAATTGGAAAATGTCCATGTTAAGAACCACTCTTATATACATACGTATATATTCCACCTCAAATTATATCATTATCAGACATTTATCGATACCCAGAAATTTCTTATTAAGATTTAGTTACAAAAATGCAATCAGCAGCCTGTAATAACAAGGCGAGTTTGCATGCAATCCATAATACGGAATAGTATTTTTGGTTGAGTAGCATTTTAATTCTCATCTTGTCCATAATTCATGCGAGCTGAAGTAACTCTCTTTTAACACGACGTGATATATACCGCCGTAATAACTGGAGCCGTGGGGTGCTACTGGTTCCAATTAAGTTTATTTTATATATTCTCCACTTCTCGCCATATTGATTAATGACCATTAAACGCACGCCATCATAAACGATACACACACGATTATTTGAACCGAAATCAAAATAAACTAGTGGTGCATGGCAAACCAAAAAAATATTATTTTTTGTAAATGAAAATATTAGATTTTTGAGAAATGTTAAATTTTTGAACAAAATTGACTTTTTTGGAAAAAAGGCTTTTTGAAAAAAAAAGTTTTCTTTATTTTGAAATGTTCTGGAATGTTTGAACATTTTTCAAAGCAATTTTATTAGTTTTTTTCAAAAACTAGTTTGTTTTTACTTTCACTTTGGCTTGGCTTTTCATTTCTTGTCTTCTCTTATCCTATCCTTAATTTCAATGCCATTATTTGTGTTTATTAACTTCTCGCAGGGTAGTTATAATGGGCCGAAAATCGAAAATAAAAATTTTTGCATTTCTCGACGTCTTGAAGGTTTCTGAACATTTTGCCATACCTCAGAAAAAATGGATGTGTGTCAAAAAACATTTGATCCCTATTGATAGGTAGATGTGCTGATTAATTTTTGTCAAAGGCAAGCCCAGTCGTTACGGAGATAAGGAGCAAAGAGAGCAAAAATAGAAATCAAGCTTTTGAGAGAACGGAGCATCCGATTTGAATGATCTAAAAAATATTCCATTAGTATTGATTGGGAGAAATGGCTATTAGTTTGCGCAAAGGTAGGCCCAGACATTTTCGAATACAAAGCTAAATGTGCAAAAAATCGCAGTTTTTAAGAGAACTAAGCATATCCGATTCGAATGATTCAAAAAACTTTCTGCTTGTGTTGACAAAACAATTACTTTTGGAAAAAAAAACTTTTCATTTTTTTATGATTCACATTTCACATATGTACTAACTTATATACCAACTTTTTTACATTTTTTTTTTATATATATATTTATTTATATATATATATACATTATTTTCATATCTCAGTCAAGCAGAGTTGCCTGGTATGAGAGATTATGAAAACAGTTTTCATATAATATATACATTTCATTTGACTATAATATCTATTTCATTAATATAATAACTTTCAATTCATATATTACTTATATACTTCAAATAGAGCATTTCGTTACGGTACGGGAAGTTCCAGCAACTTACCTTAAGGCACGATGCCATACACCACTAGTTCTGTATCCTTCTGCACATGTTTGCTATGATATGAATCATATTGTAAATAATATTTAACTCATAAACTATTTGATTTAAATAAAAAGACATAGTATGCGTCTTTTATTTGCATGATAGCTCTCTCATTTTATCGCATTTTTAAGCTTATTTTGAGCACTATAAAACTTTCATATCTAGCCTGATATTGTTCCTAGAACACTTTATAAAGCACCGATTTATTAAGATTTTAATTGATATAATTCTGATCATTACACGATTTTCGTTAAAAGATATATTTTTGAAGATGTTAATAAAAAACGATGAAAACGCAAAAAAGGAGCAAATTTTCAGTAGCCAGTAACTTGAAAAGTATTTACTTTTTGAAAAAAATTATTGAACATTTTTCTCTTATAATTAGTTCCTTTATCGATACCGATGAAAAGAAATGTCATTCCCTGGGAAGTGGCAAAAGAGTCAAAATTATTTTCACTTTTGAATTTGAGAGTAAGATGAACCTAATTTCAAAATTTCATGCAAATTGGATCGCGGTAAAAAAAATTCTAGCACAAAATGCTCCATTGACTTGACTAAATATTCCGTATCCAATGCCAAACATGATTTTTTGACACAAATAAAAAAAAATTCTGAATGATTTTCTGAATAAGTAAGTTTTTTTGTATTGTGATTTAGTAAAGTAAGGCAAAACACGACTGCATTAGTTAAAAGATAATAATCTGTCAAATTAATTATAAAGGGTATATTAATAGGTTAGTATATAATGAACATGCTATAATAGGAGCAACGCTGTAATAATCATTACAAATTGCAGATGTTTTATAAAATTAAATCTTCACTGTGCAAATGATTATTACATAATGATTAAACATAACAGAATAATGAAAATGTGTGATATTCATGAAAAATACAATTTATTATTTAAATTAAATTATAATTATATTACAATTCAAATTTAAGATTAAATGATCTCCTTCAGTATTAAGATTATTGATCCTGCAAAATAAATTTATATTAAAAATTAAAACTTGCACATAATATAATATCTTAGATTGTTGTATTTTCAATATAACTTCTTTGCTATAACATACTTTATTTTTTTTGCCCCAATCTCCAGCATGCGCTAGGACAAATCCTAGATTTAATGTAATATTTTCTTTTGTGCACCCTTCATATTTTTTTTGTATGGCTTCTGGAAATGATTTTCAATAAATTTGAATACACAGATGTTAAATTATACCTCAACATGTTGAGGTATAACCTAACTCAACATGTTGAGGTATAATTTAACCTAACGTAAAGGTATAATATGATAATATGATATAATACAATATATAATATGATATACATATATTAATGGAATTATATATATATATATATATATATATATATATATATATATATATAATATGATATTATAATGATACATACGAATTATAATATTGGACAGATTTAATCCTGAGAAGTTTAATTTCCCATTTCTGCCCTTTGCTGCAAATAGTTTAGCCATATCTTTGGTCTAAGGGCGCGAACTGTCGCCCTTTCGTTATTTGGTATGTTTCCTGCCAGCTCATTTATCTATTATGAATATTTTTAAATAAATAAATATATATATATATATATAACATATAATATATATATATATATAACATATAATATATATATATATATATATATATAACATATAATATATATATATATATATAACATATAATATATATATATATATGTAACACATAATATATATATATATATAACACATAATATATATATATATATATAACATATAATATATATATATATATATATAACATATAATATATATATATATATATATATATATATATATTTCTTACCATGTGTAAGGCAAAAGTTTCGTTTTCTAATTTTTTTTCGAAGATCTCTTTCTTTAATACTTTTTAATGGTAAAACTGGCTCCTCCTCTTTGTCTGAAACTGAAAACATACAAATTTCAGTTTGATTTTCCATCATTTCTTGAAGATGAAGTGTAATTTTCTCCAACATTGTCGACAAGTGATTCAATGACTTTTCAGGCTTATCTTTGCTTGATAAAATTAAGTTCACAATAAATATTTTAATACAATAAGAACGTTGACATTGAAAAATTTAGTGGCAAATTGTTCAAAATAACTTGAAACGTTGAGAACACAAAATTAGCAAATAGGATTTGCTGATGAAAACATTCTTTTTCAGAAAGAATGAAATATTAAACATTATAATGAAGCAAGAAGTACATTTTTGAGCTATTTTCAATAAGCTCACAATAGCATAGCAAAAATAGTACTCGTATGTACTGATTTAGTACCAAAACTCTGTTTTTCTCTCCAACCTACCAAAAAAAGCAGAAGACTAAGCAAATTGTGGGCTTATGTATGTATATTATTAAGAAAATAATGATGAACAAAATACTTACTTGCTAAAAGTTTAAGCTTTTCTTCAATGTTTGGTTGTATTGGCTGGCTCATTATTCAAGGTTTGGTTGTATTGGCTGGCTCATTATTTCCTATTGAATATACAGCTTTTATCAATACTTTTAATAATTTATTACTTTAATAGTTACTTATTATTTTAATACTTACTTGATAAAGATTGCTCCTCAGTACTTTAGGACGGATGCTGGATTTCAAGACCCGGGTCGATTATTTTTGCAATAATCTGCACATCATTGGGCAAGTTAGCATCAAAATTTGTATTTAATATTGTTAATAATTTATTAACTTGACTCTCTGGTATTTGGTTGTTCATTGCTATTGGTTGATGAAACCATTTCGTTGATTGTTCACTGAAATAAAAAACTTCACTGACTATTCACTGAAATAAAAAAGCGGACAGAATCTACTTTCAGCCTACCTCTTTTCTGGAGAGGGAAACTCAGCGGTCAGCCACTCTTCTTATTTATTTATAATTATGATTATGTTTATACTATTTTATTATATATGTATATTATTGGGCCGATTCTCGACAAGTTCACACTTACTTCGTTTAAAGTAAGTCTACACCTGGTTCAATACTGATGGAAGTGATTTGCTTCACAATTTCAGATGGAGAGTGCAGATCGATGACTGAAACACCACAATGTGTTTTACATGTGGTAATACGTAAAATTTTCGTTGGCATGCGAACTGGTCCCTGATAAAAAAAACTGGGTTATAAAAGAATCATATACGAGACTAATATAAAATATGATTTATGACTCAAATATGCCAAAGTATGAGTATACAGCAATCAACTCAAACTCACTTTAACCTACTGTTGAATATAGCACATCTCGTAAATGTAGATTTACATAGATCAGTAAATCTGCAATTCATATGCATACTAAGAAAAATAATATAACTAAAAAAAACTCACCTTCACACGGAGCTTTTGTTTCTTGGCTCCATTTATTAAATCGGTTAATACGGATGCGATGGACCTGAGGCACCTCAGCTGTTGGTTTTTCTAAATCTTTGCCAACTGCAGCCTACAATGAAAATAATATTAATGCAAAGAAAATTCGCACGGAAAATTACTGAGATAACACGTGTATATGTAACCTCAAATCGAACACTATTAAACATAAGGCAAAAAGATTTAATGCATGATATAACGGAACAAATATTATGTATGTAATTACCATTTTTATATATTCTTACTGCTCGAGTTAACCAACACAAATTTTAAATTGATCAGCGCTGAAGCAGTATGTACTCCTTCAACAATTAGATCAAAATTATTATATTGTCTACGGTCCGTGGTCCCAAGTCCCAAGATCTTGACTCCATGATGATTGCAGTGAAAAGAGATCGATTACCGTAGGTACTCTCGTTTTATACTCTGGCGAGCAATCCCCACTAGTTCACTGGCCAGTAGTTGTGCGTCTCACTCTTGCGCGGTATATTACAGGCGCCATCTGGTCCCCACAGATACTTAAAAAAACGAACATAATTCTATAGCTACATAAATTTGATTATTTTAAATAAATATATATATATATATATATATATATATATATATATATATATATATACTAGAGATGGGTAACTCACTCCGGAGTTATGACTCCGATACAACTCCTTCCTCGGAGTGAATCCGGGTGAAGTTGATTCACAGGATTTGTCATATCCGACATTCCTAAACTGGTATTAAATCTGTTAACTTGTGCATACATTTACTGTTTTTGGTGTTCTTGCTTTGTTTTTGGTGTTTTTCCTTTTGACCTTTTAGGTATAAAACTCAATAAATACCATTGTGTATTTTCCAGAAAATACAGAAGTATTACGTCAAAGATACAGAACAATGAAGTTGTGTTCAAGTGTGAATAGCTCAAATATATAATTCATTGAATAGTAAGGGGTCATATTTCTAACAATCTTTGGCAGTGAATGACGGCAATCAGAAATATACATACCGAAAAATACATGAACGAAATACATTTAATCTGGTTTTTACATAGCCTGAAATGACAATACTTTAGAGCGCAAAATTTATCAGTGATATCAATAGTATTTAAGCAGCAAAGAATATTTAGTATTATATTATTACTTTTACACAATTATATAATTATTTATACCCGATATAATATTAATTCTACAGAAGTATGATCATTTGGTGAAAATATTTTATGATAAATGTTTTGCTTTCATTACAAAGTTTACTACATTATTTTTATATAAAATTAATCAAAAAAATCCATTATTTTCTCACCAAATGACAATAATTAAATTGAATTTGATTCTCTAGTTTTGCGTTTTCAGTTTTCACTTTGGTCAACGCTGCTAAAATTACGAGTCATTGAGTTGATCATCTGGACGACTAAAAAATTGTACAATCCGTCATTTATTTGTGATTTTTTTAGAAAAGTTATTTTATTAATATTTATTCATACATTTTCATTTCAAACAATTAATGGGATTTGACAAATCGTTAGATACATAAACAACGCACTATAGAACACATTTGTATCGAGCATTTCGCTTTCAAAGTTTTCGGAGTCGCGGAGTTGTAAAGCGGATATAACTCCACCATGAGGCGGAGTCAAATCAAAATATAATAAGCCCATCTTTAATATATACATATATATATATATATATATATATATATATATATGATTGATTTCTTGGAGGGTGTAACATCAAGTAAAAAATAAGTAAAGTAAAGATTTTTTTCAAAACATCTTTATTTTTCCATACGTTTCGACGTAAAATTCTGCGTCATCGTCAGTGGTTCTACAATTAGAAAGTAACGTTACAAATTGAATATACATAAGCAATAGTAAAAAGAAAAGTTTTAACTAAAGAGAATTGCATAAAACATTACTTAGAATGTATGGACGTACATCGAATAGATTTTAAACTTTTTGAGTAAAGCCGTTTTTGGGGAAACATTGGCGAGAGGTCAAAAATTGACTCATACACATACTTTTTCCAAATTTAATTCCATTCGATTCAGAATGATTAGATAATTATCCATTAAACATGAATAGCCAACAAGTGGTTTTCAATGAATATTTAAAATTTTTGTTAAAATTATTCAATTTCAGTATCATTTCGGCCCAAAGCCATCGGTTCAGAATTTTTGGATAAAACGTGGACAACCAATTTTGCACGTTTCTGCTAATTTTAATGAAATGGCTTTGTCGTCGTGCAAAATTGATGAACGCTAGTCCTAGTCCTACATCGAATAGATTTTAAACTTTTTGAGAGAAGTCGATTTTGGGAAAACGTTGGCGATATGTCAAAAATTGACTCATACACATACTTTTTCCAAATTTAATCCCATTCGATTCAGAATGATTAGATAATTATCTATTAAACAAGTGGTTCTGAATGAATATCTCAAATTTTTATTAGAATTAACCAATTTCAATATCATTCCGGCCCTAGGCCAGCTAAACTAGACATACTGATGACCCCACGAGTTGAAGGTCGTGCGCAAAAGCGTAAAGTTTTGCAATAAAACGGCTAGGTGTTTCTTTCTCACCTCTCACGCAGAGATAGGTTGATAGGCTGATGGGTTGATGGGTTGATGGGTACTCCACAACATTCTGTATGCGTTTTTATTACTTTTCTTCGTGCCTTGATATCTACTCTACGTGAGTTTACGCGCCGAAGCCGCAATAATATCACACGCCCGCCGTCTGACGCGAACCGAAAGGTAAAGGTAAAGTTAAGTCTGCATGAGCTAAAGCCAATTGGAAAAATTAATGGATACTAATCTTTCTTAGTTGGTCCAAGATTTTTGCTCTAACATCCTAGGATATCATTCTGAAGTATGTGCCAATTAGTAAAAATATTAGAATATACATTGCTTGATCATACATAGGATAGAACGGGCCACATAGGTCCAATTTAACTTTTATTTTGAACAACCTATGTTCAGTAAAAGTCTCACATAATTTATCATTTTAAAAATACATTTCTTTGCTATTCTTCAAAATTTTGTCACCTGGTCTTTTTTACTCCATAACCTGGATAATAAGAGACAGTCAGGGTTCTCTTCATCATTTTATTGTTAATTTTAAAGAGGTTTTACGGAATAATTGCTACACTATTTTATCAATGCGATGGAATTTGATTATTAAGTTGAGTCATAATCTAAATATGTATTTTTGAACATAATAAATGAAAATCTTCATAAACTGTCATAAATCTTGCTTTGGTAAATATTTCTGTTTATCACTCATTATTTCTTGAAATAGGGTTAGGAGGCACTCATTAATCACATGATTGATTTTTAAGAATTTTTGGACCCCTCCTCTCCCTTAGTGATACGTGGTGATATTTAAAACTATCTATTTAATAGATTTATCATAAATATATTAACTAATTTGTTATTATTGGACAGTAATCATATGTAAATCTGCAAATCTGCTGTTTGTCCGAGCGGGAATTAAAACTGGAATATTGTGGCTGCAAGTTTTATAAAATGATGGGCCGATTCTGCCGCAAAACAGACTAATGTTATGGCAAGGCCATATTACGCTCCAATTTCCATACATTATGCTACTGGATCATACTGAATACTGTCAAAATATCATGTATTTGCTGTGCATTCAGGCGTTTTACACATAAACTGCAACGTCACTCGTATGTTATGAAGCTGAGTCAGAAAGACCCTGTTATCTAAGATCGTTTTTTTGACATTTGTGTGGTTTCTAGGTTAGGTTTTCTATCTGAGAACCTGAAAAAATCGCGTGACTGCACAGCAACATGGATTTTGTCGATATTTAGAACGAATTTCTATGAAAAGTTCTTCATAACATAGCTTTGCCATAACATTTGTCTGGTAATAAAGTAAGTAAGCTCTCCAATATCATATAAAGCAAAAGTATAGTCATAAACAAGATTGTCTTAAACGCTAAAAATTATATAATTTTTAGGGTTATAAAATGATTTAGTTTTGCACATCTCAACCTGCCTTTACGGTATCGAAATAATTTATTCCCATTAATTATTTGGAATGTTGCGTTCAGAAACAACATTACCTCGTAGATTATGATAACGCTCTCAACGACCGCTTGAATTAGTCTAGTCTTATGATAATGCAAGTAGATAAACGTCTTAGGAATATAAAGATATCTTTAACACGTTTTAATTTTATAGCATAGTTATTGCTATATTTTGAAAAATAGTAGCTATTAAATTTTACGATACATGCTGTGGTAGCATATACAAAAAGTGATGTTTTTTTCAAGTATATATTTACAAGGCAACTGCCTTCTATGTAGGCTTTATTTTAGCCTGGCGTTTCGGGTCTGGAAAAATCATCTAGGTGTTTAACCTCCGCCCATACATTAGGTTGAAACATGAATCAGTAGCTAAATTTGCGAAATAGTATCCACATTAAAATCATTTGATAAGTATCATACAGGCAATATCCCACACACGAAGTAATATCTTATAAAACACGGAAATGGCCTGCCAGTGAACATTGAATTAGCGTTAGCTGCCTACGACTTCAGTAGATTATATTCCAATAAACGGCCACCTTGTTTAGGAACTGGTTTTGAGATAAATATAATAATAATTTAACAAATAATTAAAAAAAATTTTTTTCAAGTTATGCCAAGACCGTAGTACCTACCTACTCCTACAATTTTGATAAGATTTCTCATGCTATATAATACTTCTGAAAAGCTCATTCTTTAGACTTCTGATTCGCTTATTATTAGAGTGAATTAGATGGACGAAAAATTGTATCCATACATACATACACACACATATCCATTTTTTTGAGGTATGCCAAAATGTTCAGAAACCTTCAAAACGTGAAGAAATGTAAAAATTTTTAATTTCGACTTCTTGAACGATTACAATAACTTACCCTACGGGAAGTTAGTAATACACAATTATATTTATTTACTGATTTTTTTACATATTGAAAATTTCTTTATTTAAATCTGAAATAAGTTTCATTTTGATTATATTTCATTTAATTACTATATATTTTTATATCTCAGTGGGTGCAAGTTCTTTTGTAAATTAGTACGAAATCCTACAGTACATATGGGCCTTTTAAAAGTCTCAACTAACTTCAATTTCTTTATTTAAACTGTTAGAATTTTTGAGTAAATTTTATCATTCGTACTTCTTCATCATCTTTGTTTACTTACGAATAAATATCAATAATTCAACTTTGAAAAGCAGTTAATTACAATTAACTATCCAAGTTTTTTATATCTAAAATACAAGACAGTTGATCATAATGAGTTTCAACATAAAAATAATTTTCTACCAACGTTTGTAATTCTATAAAAATTCTTCTACGAACCAAAACAATGAAC